TTCGGTAGTGATGGCATAAGTCTATCGTAGTGACTTGGCAGAGATTTTAAACACTTTGCAAATGTAATTAAACTTCTGAAAAGTGTCCACTGTAGAAGGTTCTTTAGGGAAACTCTCAAATGAGAGTACAGTACCACATAAGTAGCAGACTGAGTTAATCCTGTGATTTCCTAGGCTATCTGATGGCCATCAAGGAAGCCTAGATGTGCTAGAGATTAAAGAACTGAACTCCTGCTTCAGTACATAGTAAGCTACAAAAATGGCTAAAATTAATGTACCTATACAAATTTGTTTTATCCGGTTTGGCCATAGCTCAGTGAATATAATAGACAAAAATGTATTGCCTTGGCAGCCAAGAATTAATGCAATTTAGATTGAAAAATGTAAAAATTATACCACTGGGGATAAGTGATTCACGTTGCTGCTGTGTGGGGCTGTTAGAATGGGCAAAGTTAACATGCTCATGATCCTGTTTGAAGTAGGCTGGTGTGATAGGGCTGCCTGCAGAAGTTGCTGTCTCTTCTGCAATAGAATTAGTTTTAGGCTGCAGCACTAGGCAGGTTTCAGAATTTGACAGCAGCCCTTGTTGCAGCATACCACAGGCTTTTAGTTGCTGGCACAGCAGAAGCAAGGGATGAAGATAATGTTGCTGTGGTTCTATCATGTATTATTTAAGTTTTCTAACTGCTTGTTTTCCCTTCTGCACTACAGTTCGCTTCCCTCTCACTTGTGATGTTATAGATATATATAGGTTGACTAAATATAGGTCAGTTAAAAGTCCTTTCTTCTTCCCAAGGAAAGTAACATCAGTTGATGCACTTCCCATAATTTTCTTGCTTCTCTAATTATTTTCCAGAATACTTGTTAAGCAGTATTGACCTCTTAACTAAACCCAACAATTTTCTTCTGCTGTAATTTAGGGAGTAATGTACAGAAATTGATCTGTGTATTCAGATAGTCTATATAAATGGGTTGGAATTTATGAAGGAGCATAGGGATGTTGGGTTAATAATATTTGGAATGTTTGGAGTTAAATAATGTACTTGGAGTTGTACAGCAGTATCAAAGCACGTATGTTTAGAAACACACTAATAAGTTGCTTATTTTAATGATCAGCTATAAGAGAGAATACATCCAATTCTGATGTAGAACTGGACCTGTGGAAATGTAGTGTTTCACATAGGTGAGCAGCCTAGAGGGTGGTGGAGTTAAACAGAAGTTTAGGAGCTGGGCAACATAAGATAAGGCAGTGGATGAACATAGGGAATTGAGCGGGAACTGATAAAGAAAGAGGAAGAAGATTGATTTTTGGGAATATTTTGAATTTTGACTTACTTTATCCTAATATTGCCTATTACATATAGAATTTGAATTACGTTGTTTTACTGTATTAACATTAGCTAATTATCATGTTTCTTAGTTCTAAATTACTTTCAAAATACCTGCAGTATTGTGAGGCATGGATAAGTGTTTCTGTGCTTTTGGGTGTCTTCCCAAAAGTGTATACGAAGGGGTTGCAATAAGTGGGTAGCCTATCTGGGATAAAGTGCACTGTAAGTAGCATAATGATTATTTCACACTGCTTCCGTAACTGCATCTAAACTGTCTTTAGTTTCTTTCTGTTTCTGTTCTAGAAAATAATGAAACTTTTGCAGATTTTGTTGCTGGATTGCAATTTCTGTAACATACTCTTTTTGACTAATTCAATTCTTGCTAGATGTAATGTGTTGCTTTGACAGAAACTTGTGTTTTGTTTACTTGTACTGTGTGAGACACATTGCTTTTGAGTTTTATTTTAGCTGCAGAAGTACAGAGAGAAAGAATAGGAGTCATGGTTTATCTTGGATATCCAAACTTGCTTTGGAACATTATTGCCAAAGGCGATTATGCTTAGTGATTATTATATTTATGAAGTTGTTGTGTTTTCTCAAACCACAATTCTTGTAAAAGGATAATTATGTTAAAGCTTGGGCTATTCTTTGCAGATTCTGTGCCAGCGCCAAAATATTTTCAGACAATATGTAGTTATCATTTCAAAGATATGCTTTTAACTTGAAATACTAAGTAGTGTAGTAAGTTTTTAAAACATAATATTCAGTAAACTGGGACAGGAGTAAGTTTAAAGTTAAAGCAAGTCACTTATCTTGCACTGCCATCAGGAATCAGGTCTGAAATGTGCTACTTAATGTGAAGGCTTAAAGTTTATGTTCTTGCTCTCAATTAATTTTATGCTATTGATCTTTTGCAGAGGGAAGGACAAAAATCTTACCATTTGTAGCTGTTGTTGCTGAACACTTTAGTGGTCGTGTTGAGCAAATCACAAACTTCTAAAGCTTTCATACTGTGTGTTTATGTAATTTAATACTGAGTTGGATAATGCTTGAGGTGGACTATGTAAGGGTTTTGATACCTGTAATTGATTTTTTGAAAAATGATACAAATTACTTCCACCAGTCAGCGGTAATAGCTTAACTGTCAGGAGCTTAATTTTAATTTGCACACCGAAGTGAAGTTCTGTGTTCTTATTTTAAAGAAAATTCAAAATTAAGTGGACTTCTTTAAAAAACAAAATCTCTACTGGCTAAATGGTCGCTAATTTTGTTCCTAAACATTTAGAAACTTTCGAAGCTGTATTTGTGCAGAATTTTTGACACTTACACTGCAGGGTAAATGGAAGTTAGAAATAACGCTGTTAGAAGGTGTAGAGTGCCAACAAGCTGCTTGAATAAGTGTAGATTTAATAAGCCTTATCAATATTATTCTTGATGTTGCAATTGAAATACTGTGCTTTGTATGTATGTAATTCTTTTCCCAGCTTTTAAACAGATTTCAGTATTTTCTTGAAATTACACTTTTCACACATAACTATAGCTTTAGATGAACTTAGCTTTGCATGAAGTATGTTGAAAGAAAGTTTTCAGAAGCTACAGAGTGGTTTCTTTTCCCTTAGGTATTCTGTAGGGTTCTGTAGAAGTGACACACAGGTGATTTATTTTAGCAGATTTTTGTAGTATCTTATATTATAATGAAGCTGTATTTATGACCACTTTAAAATGGTTGAAGTATGACCTATTGCAAAAAAAGAAGAGTAAGATTTCTCCATGGGCATCATGATCCAGCCTTCCTTTTGTTGGCACTAGTCATAGTGTGGTCGTCGGATCTGCAAGATCAGTGCAGTAGTTTGGATTGAAGCTTGTCTGGCTAATTAGAACATAGGCAGGGCAGGAAAGACCATGTCTTTCACCTGCAGTCACCTTTAGATCAGCTGAAGATAACACAAAGTAGGATTTTGAGGAAGAAAAGCAGTTAATTTAAAATGTCCCACCTCACAGTGACTCTTTAATTTACAAAAGGAAAACTTCACACTGCTCTATAACCATGCACCGATTTTCTATACATGGGAGGAAACAATATGTCCTTTTTATAAGTTGAATTTGTATTATCTCGGAAACACAGGCTTGGTTTTGAAAAAGGTGGGGGGTTTGTTATCTTTTAACTCCTATTATGTCAATTCTAATAGACACAATTCTAGTAGAGAAAATTTAAAAATTTTAAAGAATTATTTATTTTTTTACATTTTTGAGCTATAAAGAAGAACAAGTTGAGTGGGAATAGGTATGTAAATATTAGTAGTGAGTCATTTACACTTCTCTGTGATTTCACAACAGTAGTAAGAAATTATTTTAGTTTGGGTTTTTTTGGGGGGAAGCAAGCAGGGGGTGGCAGTTTAAAAGTTTATGGAGTAGCCCAATATTTAATCCTTAGTGAGTTACACAACTATTTTGCTTACCAATATTCAGTGTTTTGGCTTTTTTTTTTTTTTAAAAATGTACAGTCATCTTAGTTACTCCCTTTATGTAGCTAATATCAAATGCTCTGGTTGAAGTACACAGATACTTCTCATAATGAAAATTATATATGAATAAAATAAAACTGAATTTCTTCTGTATATGGGACTTTTTTCACATTCTTCTCCCCATTCATTCCTGGATCACATGTACCTAAATATGGCTACTTGGACGCAATTAATGTCATGTGTTTTTTAAAAAAAACGTGAAAGAGAATATTTAAAAGAAACTCACAACTTTTGAAAGTTTAGCTTTAATCTTGAGTCTAAGGTTAAAAGAGCTTTCACAATTCCAGCTATTTTGAAGGCTGTCTGCCTGTAGTAACATAAATCTTTGACATAAAACATGGCCCTTATTAACATGAGCATCTGCTTATAAGAGTAGAAAAAGTGCCATTTTCTTTTAATCTTAGTATTTCCTTTTCACTATAAATACTTTTTGCTACCTACAAAGTAACTGAGCTTTTGGTTACATTCTGTCTAGATTGGTAGTGTTCCTTTGACGTGCAGAATAAATTAAAATGCAAAATTATTTGGGATTTCTCCTCACTGTTAAATTCAGAATGATGGGAAGATTACAACATGAAACTGAGATTCTTAATATTAACTTCTAACTTTACTGATTGTGAGGGGTGTTCTTAGACAGCTGTTCACAGGACTTCTTTTCTCTGTTCTCCAAAGAAACATTATTATCTATCCCCATTGCATGAAGAAAACAGAAATCCCAGGTTTCTGGAGTTGCACTGAGTCAGTAGGAAGCTTGTGATGTTAATTAGATATTATTAACAGCATCTATTTGCCATTTCATACTAGTGTCTTTTTCTGGATAGACTAAGCAAGAACACTTCAGTATTTTGAACTTGAAAGCATTAGTTTCTGATAATAGAAGATGTGGCTTGTAGGGAATGACTTGGAAAATACATTTAAATTTTAATGGCATCCTTTAATGGTTTTTATTGGGTACATATGTAAATTTCTATGGGAAAATGTGCACAGAGTATGATACACATGCCTGTGCTATTGTTAATTTGTTTGGCTGGTTTTAGTGGTGGTTTGAAAGGGCTGTTTGTTAAGTTGTTGTGAAATGATAATCTTTGTGTTAGTTCTCACAGATCTGGTACAACTTTTTGAGAATCTCTGTTTATTTTTGCAGGTAGGAGGATTTATCTGACTAGCACAGCCAGCAATAGCAGTGGTGAGACGGAGACACAGGCAGGCACTTGGTGCCTTGGAGTTTCTGGAAAGTTCAAAGAGAGAGGCTATTCCTTTTTACAAAGTGAAGACCAACAACCTATTTCAGAGTTAATGGAGCAAATGCTGAATTTGTATGTGGTGAGACCACATGTCAAATCTGTCCTGCTTAAAACCAGTCACGCTGGGAAACTGCAGGTTCTGGTATGTAGTAAAGCTTTGGAAAAGAGAAACTACATGCTCAGGAACTCTCTGTGTCTGTATTATCATGCCAATGGGTACAAATGATCATGGCCTTCTGCCAGTTTATTGTGTAGCTTTGGTAAAGATTGAACTTTTTGCAGCAGAGACAGTTAACTTGGATAATTCTGTTTTTTTTGGGAATACAAATGAGCAAAGTTCTTTGAACCAGTCAAGCATACTTGTCAATGTGTATACATGCCAGTATCCAAAATTACAAGTTTGTTGGGCCACTTGGGCAGATTGATGAGATAATTTTTGTGCATTTGGTAGAAATAAGTCTTATCATCCTAATGACTGTTTATTCATTAAAGGTCTCAGTGGTTATTTACAGTGTAATCCACAGTGATTAGTGTTCAACTTCATTTGCCATGGAGTAAGTTTTTTGAAATGCTTGATAGGTACATGTTCTCTTGACCCATCTTCTTTCTTTGCCACACAAACTTTCCCTTGCATAGTCTTCAGACTGTAAGGGAATGGTGAGAGACTTTTCGACCAGGTACTTCATTTGCCTTTGTATGAGCAAAGCTCTAAAAACAGTTACAGAAGATATTTTAATCTCACATGATTAAGTGTCCTATATATGGACCTTTGGACTTGCTAGTTGTGTTAACTCTTAGGAATACAGTTTCAGTAGAAAAAGTAAACTGCTTCTGGTACAGCATGTCTTGAGGATGTCTTTATTTTGAGGTCTTCCACCGTTATTTTTTCTTTCCTTGTCTCTTGAACTATTGCAGAGAAAAGTTTTAAATGTAAAAATAGAAAAGTGGATTTGTCAGCACTGTGCTGATTGTAAGTAAAGTATAGCTAGACTTTCTTAGGAAGCTTTGTCTAAGTCATGTTTACTGACACACTGTACCTGTTCCCCTTTCCAAGCCTGTACCCATCAGATGTATACTTGGTGCCTTTAGAGTTGAAGGTTTGAAAGGTTATAAGCAGTACAATACCAAGTAATACCTTTGTAAGTGTAAAATTGCACATAAAAAACCCTCATAACTTGTACTTGAATTAAGGGTGAGGTGCAAGGCACTTCAATGGTATGATAAGCATAACAGTGTTTTGACATTGCTGAAATAAGTCTGCTAATTGCCAGTTCTTGGACAGAGAATATTTTCATTGCACAGGAACAGACAAAAGCAGCAAGATAGCTGTGCCCAAAAATGGTGATACTAGTTTAGACTGGTAGAGGTATTCCTGCCAAGGAATTGTGGCTGGACTTTAGAGTTTTCATGTCTGTTACAGTGTGTGTAATGGTCAGCTGAAATTACATTTCTTGTAGTACCTGCAGTATAAATATTAGGGCAGGTATTATCAACTGTTCTTTATAGATTATAGTTTAAATGGATAAGATGGGCATGCAAAAAAAAAAGAAAAGGGGTACTACGTAAGTGACTGTAGGTTGACAGCAATGGTAGTAGCACATTCCTGGATACGAGCTAGGAATGAGCTGAACAAAGAAAACGGAATAAGAGGCAGATAACTGAGATGAGGTGTAATGCAAGGAAGTGAGGTGGTGGCTGTAACAAAGAAAACGTTGCCAACGTAGGAAACACAGTCAGTGAGCTGTACAGAGATTCTTCCCAGTGTCCTGGAAACCAAAGGTCATGGCCTTACCTGCCTCTGGTCCTGACCCCAGGGGTACTTGTCTGGCTTTATCTGACTAGTTGTCTCCACTGGACAGAATAATTGGCAGTGAGGTGATTGCTACTGATCACTCTACTGATTAACTTAACCCAAAATTGGTACAAAAGGGTCAGTTGATATTTTCAGGGTATCTCTCAGCAGAGGTCTCTGTGATGGGAGATGGAACACTATAAGAAAGACGGGAAAAAGTAATTAAGGTAGACAGAAAAGGAAGGAACACTGTGTTTGGTAATCATGCTTTACAAATCAATTGTCATATAAAATTGTTCCTGAACTGTGTGCTTCTGGAAAACCTCCTATTATACGGTACAGTGAGGTTTTTCTCCTTTGTTGAATAGGTGAAAGTCATTACCAAAGGTTCTGGATCGAAAGTACCAGTTACATTAATGAAACCTTAAAGTTTACACTTCAGACTTTGTAGCTTCATTACATAGCAAACATTTTGATTTTTCCATCCAAAGATCCACATACTTTCAAACCATTTGTGTTCATTGGTGTTATTTCCATGGTTTCGTTTTTTAAGATACTCAGTAATCACTTCTGTAATTTATGTCATTCTTGTATGTTATGTGGTGATATACTAAAATGTAGTCCTTGTCAGCAATATATTTTAACACCAAGTTCAAAGGGAGTTTTTATTCTAAAACTGCTTTTGAGAATCTTCAAATATTGTAGAAGGGTGTTGTTTATTCTTAGTCATAAGTTGCTTAAGGCTAGCATGGATGAACCTAGCCTGACTCCTTTGTGTTCTGATAAGATACTGCGTCTCACCCATTTATTGCAAGCAGTTAACTTTCTACCAGAAAGTTTTCTGACCTTGATTTTGAAACTCTTCAAGACATCAAAGCTCCACCAGTATTCTTGTCAGCTTATTACAGACATTAATTGCCATGTGTTTATTCTATGCTTAATTATTTGGTGGTTTTTGTACTTAATGGTTTTTAAAAGCTTTTTTTTTTAATTCTCAAAGGTTCTATCAAGTTATCTCATCTTGAAGTGTAATTTTTTTTTTCCATTTGACCAATGACTTTTTCAGTGTAAATATTTACTACTTTAACTTCTAAACCTAGAATTTACTTGCTTAGGATAAAACAACTCTGGTATTTGGCAATATTCCACATCTCTCATATAGAAGAGAGCACCTCAAATACCATTACTGCATTTCTTCACAGAATAAAACACAGGGGACTTGGATGGCATGGTGTTCAGAAGAAATTACTTTTAAATGGCTATATTTTTTTATGATAACTAGTGAAAAACAATCCTCTCTGTGGACAATGCCGGTTCCGGTTAGGTGATTTAGAATTTTTATATATCATTCTCTGGGTTTTCCTGAGCCATTGAATTGTGTTATAGGGAGTGAGAAGATCTTGTAACTACTTTATAGGAGTTTGAATATTAACAGTGGTAACAAGCAATTTCCCTTACTTCAAAAAAACCTGTTAAAATGTGTAGTTCACAGCAGAAATAATGAAAAGCTGACAAAGGAAATCAGTATATTAGATATTTTACTGCTTTGTGTTTTCTCCTAGAGAATAAAAGGGCTAAGTAAGTCAGTTATCTGTTGGAATTGGTTTTTTTAACTTGCAGTCATCTGTACTTGAAGTCTAGTTTAAGATCTTGAATCATGTATGAATACTAAATTTAAAATACAAATTTAGTTCTTGGAATTAAGCGAATTAGAACAGATTTTTGTTTTCTTTCCATTCTTGTCTAAGTAAGTGCCAGCAAGCTTTATGGGCTTGTTATTTAAATGGGTTTTGTGCCAAATCATATTACGTGTCATGTTTCTAAAGTTTAAATGGCACTGGTTTGCTAGGGATGGCGAAGTTTTGACACCCCCAATCATTTGCGAATGATTGGGGTTTGTATCTTTTTTGGGGTAGATTTCTAATACTCTGAAGCAGCAAATTGGCTGATTGAACTATGTAATAAATTATCTGTTCCCTCCTTGGAAATTGTTGTTGAATTGGGGTGGTATGCATTTTGGTGGTTGTAACTGCTTTAAAATTAAGCTGCAAGGCCCATGGATGGGTCAGAATCATAACTTTCAAAATGATTTTGTTAAAAAGAACCTGCCCAAATCTGTCCTTTTTTTTGAGGTTTTCAGTGATTTTTCTTTGATAGTAAGGTGTGACTGATTATTTCACTGCAACAGTTAAGTTGCAGAGTAACTACTAAAAAGAGTAACTACTGTGGGCATAGTTACAAAGAACATTTCTCTTTTTGGTGCTGTTGGTATAAAAACAGTGCCACCCTCTTACTTGGTTCAGGTGTTCATGTGGTGAACCTGATCAGGAAGCTGGTCCAGATTAAAAAATAGCTGAGCAAAGAAAAGAATGATTATTTTTAGCCCAGATCTATTAGGAGTGGCATACTGATATTTGGAAATAATGGGTAACTGAAGAAACATTTTTAGAAAGTGAAACCTGAGATAGCCAAAATTCAGGTGGGTATGGAATTTTCTTATTAGTTTTTGTTTGTATTTTATTTCTCAGTTGCAACAAATTGTATTTTACATACATTTAGATAGAGACAGATGGAGGAGGAACATAAGTCAGTTTATCTCTGGTCAGGTTGACCTAAGGAAGCTGTGATCTGGGTATGGCTTGAACTCCCATCTGAGCCAAGCATGCAGCCAGCAGTCCTGCTCCCTCCTGCACATCCCTGCCTTCTCCTGATTCTGCCATCTCTGTCAATTAGGGCAGCAGAAAGGCAGCTCAGGAAGCTAAACTGGTTGAATTGTAACCTTCCAAATATATATTTTCTACTGGCCTTGCTCCTTGAGGCAGCTCACTGTGGAGACTGATGGAAGCCAGAGCTCACCTGTGGCCGGAGCAGCCGAAAGCCCATCACTGTGGGTCTGACTTTTGTTATTGTGTAGCCTCCAAACACCAGGAGTGTGACCTCCTGAAAGGTAGCTGCATATATTTCTAATCAGCCCTGCTGCTCCTGTTGTATGCACTGCCCGCCTGTCCCTCCACACTGCTGGTGCATTACCCCTGCCTGGTTTACTCAATCACCTCTCCCCTCTGCTCTCCTGGCACCCTTGCAATTCTCCATTGCCTCCTGCAAAGTGCTGCTTGAACTGCAGGGGAGAGTAGGAGAGATGGGAAGGTGTCTCAGATTGAGACAATTTGCAGGGGTGGTGACCTCGGGCAGAAGTTTTCTCCCTCAGATTCAATACCCTTGGTTTCTCTAAGAGAGAGAAACCAAGTACACCTGGATGTAAATGGAAAAATAACTCTTTACCAAGAAGAAATGCTAATAACAATACTGATAAAACTGGGTTAAACTAAGTGATGAGGAGAAACTTCCCA